CTAGACTGCCCTTTGCTGCCCTTGTGTACACTTCTCCCCCCTTTATGGCAGAGAGAGACATAGCAGGAAAGGATAAGTATTTCAGTTACAAAGATCCTGTTAAAGTCCCTGCAAAAGCTGATGGGTCACACCATAGATATGTGCAAATTTGTACAATTTTAGAGATTACAGAAAACTACTACAAGCTTTTTCCAGATCAAGAACTTTTGTTAACTTATTTAATACTTTTTCTAGACCCAGACTATACCTCTTGCTGGGTTTTTCAGGGCTATTTTGTTACCCTAGGAAAAAATAATTATTCTTCCCCCCCCCCCCCCCGTATTTGTATACAAGGGAAGCAATGGTGTTCTCTACACAGCTACACCCCTCGCCCCTAAATGGACTGTGAAGGATTGAGTGATTGTGGCATCTTAGCAGGTGGTGATGTTTCGAAGACTTGGGGTAGGGGCCGTTATATTCCGTCTAAGCGTGTTCCCAATTATCCTGCCATGCTTTGAATTCAGCCACCTCAGAAAACTGCCTGCACTGTACGTGGACTTCAAACCCTGTTTCAGGGCCCTCAGGTTAGAGAGCCCCATCCACTGGATCATAGTGAATCTACAGAGTTGCTGGGGGAAGGGGCTATTAATCGGAAGACCTGCTACCAGGGCACATATGTGGAGAGCAAGGAGATTGTTTCCAACTTCACTTTACATGCTGAGGGAAAATGGGGTAATTCAGCAGTGGAAAGGATTCTTTTTAGCACAGCCAGATTCAGCAGTGACTGCACATAGGCACACACAAACTTTCCCTTGTCCGTCTATTGTCTTGCCCTGCTTGCTACTTTCCTCCAGTGTTCCGTGCATGCTGAGTTTCCCTCCCCACAGTGAAGTAATAAGGCTGGGGGGGGGTTCTTCCTGTCATGTGATATATGACTTCCTGTCATGTGTGTTCAGTTTGGTAGGCGTCTATGTCTTTTGGCTTAAGTTTGCCATTCCAGAAACCATTACTTGTATAGTTCACACACATTCAAACGTAAAACTACCCGCAGCTCAGCAATTCAGCTCAGATATGAAGTAGGCGTTTCTCATTAAAAGAAAGGAGGACGTCCTGATGTTTGGGTTCTCCTTCTCCCATGATCCCTGGATGTTGTCCTCTACCTCAAATACAACGAACCTTCACAGGCCAAAGTTCCCTTTCTGGTCTACTCTCCCCACACATGCTTTGAGCTATTAAATAGTTTGCGTTGTCTTCACCTTTTCTCGATTTCTTTTTCTGGCAGCCAAATGCCATACCATGTTACAGATTTTGTCAACACCAAAACAGACACTGGGAAATCAAAAGGGCCACAGTATTATAGATACAGAGAACAAACAATATGGTTTGTGCGTGTACCTGTGGTCCTTAAACTGCCTTGTAAACCACCACCACCCCGGGCCTTGAAACTCTTTATTATGCATTTTATCTCTGCTCTCCTTGTTCTGTTGCTTTCAGCTGAACCAAGTCTTGTTTTCTTAATGACTAAACTTGTTCATTTCAGTAGGGTCTGAGAAAGCATACTAGACTTCCTGTTAAGCCCTCAATTCTAAGTTGTCAGCTGCAGTCCACCCCACCAGCCCAAAATAGAAACAGAAATAAGACCAAGAAAGCACTGCATGCATCATTTCAAAAGTGCTATGGTACCAATCATTTATATTTCAAATACACTTGCCTGTGCATGCTTAAAACGTCACTTCTTCCCTGTTTTCTGTTCCTGGAGCTCTCTTGCTTAAAGAGATAACCTACCAAATAACCAGCCAGGTGGTCATTTTGCCGTTCCTTGCCTTGGCTCAGACTAGGGTTGCCGACCTCTGAGTGGGGCCTGAAGTTCTTCTGGAATTACAAATCATGGAATGGCAGCTTTGGAGAGTGGACTGTATGGGGCTACATCCCTGCTGAGCTCCCTCCCCTCCCCGGGCACTGCCTCTGGATCTCCAGGAATTTTGCAATCAGGAGCTGGCAACCCTAGATCAGACTCTCTGTTGATGACAGACGAACTCTGCTCTTGTCTGCTGAGTCTCAATCATAGTTACAAACCTGTATCAGTTATATACCACAGTCCTGGCTTATGCAAGAGAATCCTGGGAACTCTATTTGGGGTTGGGTTTTTTTTGCTGAGATGTAAGCTTTCTCTGACACACCTGTTCCTAGAACTACAGTGCCTGCACATTTTGGAGGAAAGCATGTTACTATTAAGCCAATATAAACTGTTAGTGTGAATATACCCCAAATACTGAAATGTGGGAAAATATTCTGCTTTGAGAAAGTATACTAATGGTCTTATCACTGTAAGAAAGAGGTCTGTTTATCTGCCTCCTACATTTACTTGTATGTATCCTTAAGAAGAGGTGCAAACTTGTGGATTTTTATAACTTGAATAGCAAGGTATTCATCTCAGACACATGCTATATCTAGTAAGCTTCCCTGAGGCTGCTTGAAGCTGCCTTATACTGAATCAGACCCTTGGTCCATCAAAGTTAATATTGTCCATTCAGACTGGCAGCGACTCTCCAGAGATCTTTCACATCACCTACTACCTGATCCTTTTAACTGGCAATGCTAGGGGTTGAACCTGGAACCTTCTACATGCCAAGCAGATGCTCTAACACTGAGCCATAACCCCCCCCCCCCCAGGAGTGTCTCCTTTCTAGTTGTCTAGAATTTATGAAAAAGTGGGGTGCCTTCTACTATTTTGAATGAAAACACATAGAAAAACATAACTTGTAAGAAGTGGCCCTCCAGTACCAAGCACAGACCAATACAGATCTCCCCCCATCCTTGTATCTGCCCTATTCACCCTCTTCCATTATTTTCTCCAGTGGGGCTTGTGTAGGCAAACTTCCAGATGAATTGTGGCCAAGATCTCTCAACCCCTGTTTGGCTCAGTTGCATTCAAGCAAGATAGCACCCCTGTGCGCCCAACTCCATGGCAGTTGCTCTTGCCCCAGATAAATGTGAGACTAGACAGATTATCTGAAAACGCTTAATAAATTGATGTATTTCTTTACAGTTACAAGAGGTTCCCCCCTTTAGCAACAACAAGTTCAATTTGTTGTTTGCTTCTGAGATACTAAAGCTTAAGCATTCAGCTTCTACAGTCAAATTTATTTACGTTATTTACAGGGGAGTTTTCTCACTGAGACTCAAGTTGGATTGTACAGTGCAAGTCAAATACAATCATCTTGCAGGGACATCCAATAAACAATGTAATAGGGTTCAGATTGCAGAAATCTGGAGCAGAGCTGAAACAAAGCATAAGCATTTAAATATGACATGCTATACAATGCAGAAAGTACTTAGGCTGAGCATACTTAACAGCAACAGACAGTATGCAGTAATATATTCTACAGTCCCTATCCCTTTACCATACTATCTTTCTGAACCATTTCAGTACAGTACAGTACAGCCATATTACCTCTGTTTAAAAAAAAAACACCACCCTCCTGAACAATTCAATTTTGCATAGTTCACAGAAAGGCAAAAAAGTGGGAGCCTTCCTAACCTCATCAGACAGGCCATTCCATAAGGTGCGGGCCACAACAGAGAATGCAGTTGTTGATTTTGCCCATTTGCAGGGTGGCGCCTGCCAGAAGGCCCTGCTCAGATGAGTGAAGCTGTTGTGGTGGAGCATAGGCAGTTCTGGAACCAAGGCCATGAAGGGGGTTGTATGGGGTAGCCAGTACCTTGAATTATTTAAGCACGTAAACCCAACAGATGATGGCACCTCTGGTTCCCCTGCATGATTTCCTCTTGGCATTCTTCCACTCAATATGGCAGTGATGTCAAAGCTTACTTTCCTCCCCTTGCTGTAAAGAAAAATATCTCCAGGGCACTATCTTCAGGGAGCATCACTTTGATCATCTCTTGGTCTATTTTCTCTCTAGTTCAGATAGCAAGGTAATGTTCTTTCACTCTGCGACCAGGTTTGTAGCTGAAGATTTCCACTGGCTGCCAGCAAAAAGTCCAGAGTTGGCACTATCTCACATTATCTTTTCATTGGCAAGAACACTTGCATGCAGCCACCACAGGATAAGGGATCTGCCTCCAGGCACATTGCTGTGGAGGCTTTCTAGGGACCACAGCTTCCTCCTTGCTTGCCCAACAATGCCACGCCAAGAGCTTGATGTGAGTGACCTGTGAATGTTGGCAAGTCATACCGGGAGGCCAAGAGCAGCCTGCATGCGTAGGGTCGCAGTCTGTGTGGCGTACCCAGCGTGGCCAGAAGATGGGTCCCAGGTCCACCCATGAAGAGGTCAAGTGGCAGGTAGCACTATCCACGAGCCACTGTTGGAGGCGGTGTTTGAGAGCTTGGCTCTGGTTGTGAGGAATGCCATCCTCAGAAGTCAGCAGCTCCAGAAGATCGAGTCCTTGAGCTTCCTGAAGGAGTTTCTTCTTAAGTCGGGCTGTACGCTCTGTCAGGTCCTCACTCAGGGTGCCCAGTTCCTCTAGACTTGTGTTCCGACTGCGTGGGTCCTCAAAAGACATCCAGAAGGGGTCAAAGGACGAGCCCAGCATTTTCATCAGCCGAGGGGTGCGTAGACGCTTGGGTTTGGGGGAGTAGTGATAGTCATCAGGAGAGAGAGAGAGGCTGTAGGGTCTTGCTTGGTTGCTCGGTTTACTCCGGATGAGGTGGATGTCAGGATTGTATTGAGCAATCTCAAGGCTCTTTTCCTGAGGCAGAGTTGCTTCGCTTAGGGACAAGTCTCTTTCCTGAGGGAGGGAAACAGCTCCTGTACGATGAGATCTGTGGGCCCACAGCCCCAGAAGCAGCATGCAGAGTAGCCATGCTCTGGCATCCATGACTGCCACAACTCCTCCAAGAATTGTGTGCCTCTTAATACAGCAAGCTGACCCTGTGGGCTGCTTCTCTCCACCCCTTTTCTTATCAGAAGATCCTTTCACAGAGAGTTTCCTAGTTACCCTTTTCCCTAGTTACAAGCTCTGATATCAGACAGCACTACTGCTCTCTGGGCCTATGCAATTCTACAGTCTCTTTGTCAAATGGACATTTCTGGTGACCATAAGGCATGCAGGTAACACTGACTATACTGTGTATCTGTCTGGTCCTCAGACAGTTTATGGTATGCCACGGTCCACCTTGGTGTAAGGGATACAAGGAGTCTTAGAGGTAACAGGCACCATCCCAGGACTACAGTATATATACATTGGTCAGGTATGACAATTGACATCCAGGGGCCTGGTCTTGGATCTGCTTGTTAAAAACAAACCTCTACCCCTGCTGCAATGTCAAGTACATATAGAAATGCAAGCAGAGCTACATGGACATAGGGTGGCCAACCTCCAGGTGGTGACTGGAGTTCTTCCTGCTATTACAACTGATCTCCAGATCACAGAGATCAGTTCACCTGGAGAAACTGGACTTAATGGGATTATGCCACAAACCTCATCCTCCTCAAGCTCCACCTCCCAAATCTCCAGGTATCTCCCAATCTGAAGCTGGCAAACCTACCTGGACAGCTTGTATCTTCAGGAAATTGAATTGCCAGATCACTGTGGATGATTCCCTTCATACCAGAGGCATAGTAGATGGTACAAGAGCCGCTTCCAGTTTTAAAGGTGTACCTGTGAAGGATGCATCTGGCTTCTGGCATCACATGGTTCTTGCTAGATGAGGATGTAGATGCTGCTGATGCAAAGGCAGGCTACCTCTGCTCATCTCTTGCCTTGAAAACCTTTTGAGGGGTTGCCATAAGTTTGTTGCAACTTGGCAGCATTTCATTAAGGTGCCACTGGATACACAAGCATATAATTCAGAATAACTGTTGCTGCAGAAGGTCTAGCAGGTGGCCTGTGGATCTTCTAGCAGCCATTCAGAAAGTGGATCCAGCTGCTGGGTAGAAGCCAACAACTGGGAATTGTCCTTGCTTCTCCAGTTTCCTCCCAGGGCAGTCTCCAGGAGCACCAGAGCCAAGCCATGTGGAGTACTGTGTTCACATCTCCAGGTATGTATTTGACCTGCAAAAAAGTAACTAGGGAGAGGCTGATATGGATTAGGCTTGCAGCACTGGGGGAGGGGGAAATTGCCTCTCCTCATGGACATAAACATTATTTTCCTAATCGGAAATACCAGGACTGGGCTCTGGAAAACCTAACTTTGAATTTCCACTCTGCCATGGAAGCTTATCGGATGATCATGGGACCAGTCATTCTCAGTGTAACCTACCTCACAGGGTTGTTGTTATGATAGAGTGAAGGAGAATGAGGTAAGCTGTTTTGCATCCTATACTGATGAGAAAACTTGGATATAAGTATTTAAAATTAATATAAACTCAGGTTGCTGTAAACCATGGGAGGAAAACAAGACTGGCACAATAGGTTGCCTGTCTATTCCCCACGAGCAGTTTCCTTTATTGGGTATCTCCCCCGCCCCCACATACACACACTGGTTTAAGCCCTAGGAAGGGAAAGAAAAGGAAAGAGTTAAACACTTTTTTTTTTAGCACCGCAGACCCTAGCCTCATGTGCAGTTTGGGCCTAATATCCATTTGCCAAGCATAATGGACTTCAGTGGTTCAAACTTCTCACAAAAGCAATTCTACGTAAACCAGCAATGTCGCTGTTAAATCAGCTGTCGCTATAGCTCTGGTTACGATGGCAATTGAGGCCTATAGTTTAGTGTACTTTTGCCTTGTCCTGTACTTAAAATGTTCAGCAAGGCACTGTTCCTGGCTTTCAGGGAGAAGAAAAGATTTCCCAATGCACTGGTCTCTTCTGTTCTGAATCGCTCACTGAATAGTGAGAAACAGGCAGGAACTCTTCACTTGAACTGCACACACTGACAAGGCCACATACCTCCAGATGCACTGGTTTCCATAGCAACAAAGTACTGTGCTGAACACGAGCTTGTGGGTCCTTTTGTTTCTATGGAATTGGTGTTTAACTCTGTGTGTAAAGAGAGGATGAACAGTTCATACATGATGGGAACACTCATGTCATGTGGGGCTTGAGCAGGCAACTGCAGGCATTTTGATCAGAGGCTCCATGTTCGGGATAGCTGCTACTCAGCGGATCATGGCGGTGATGCTTTTCAGAAGTCTTCCTGCTCCTGCCAGTCTGATTCACTTGGAGGTCTCCTGTCCTCTCCTTCTATCCCAGCCTCCAGGGAAGCCTTTTCCTAACAGGGCCAGAGCCAATTAGGCAGTGGTGTGTCTTCAGATACTAGCACAGGCTTTCACAGTACAGTCACAAATTATTCTTGCTGCCTTCACAATTATTCTAGATCAAGGTTCACAACATGGTGCCTGTGAGCACCATGGCATCCACCAACACTTTTCCTGGCACCTGCCAAGGGTTTTTTAAGTGGGCAGGGCCAGGTGGGGCTTTGGCCCAGCGAGGCTTCTGATTGGCCATTGGAGATCTGATTAGCTGCGTAGATTTTTAGAAACATTGCCTCAGCAGCAGCCGCCACCACTGGCTCAACCTCCTGCAGCAGCCATTTTGTGGATACACCCACCACACTGTGTTAAAATTCCAAACATGCCCCCAGGCTCAAAAAGGTCGGGGACCCCTGTTCTAGATGTTATGCAGAACCAACCTGGGTTTGCTATTCATTATATGATGAGCCGTAACTGTAACAAGCACATTTACAAACACTGTTTATAGCCCTTATCCAGCCTTCCATTTCTCCTCCCTACCCTCCATCCAACTCACATAATACATCTGAAAGTCAGCTTATTTATTTATGAAATTTATACCCCACTGTTCTCCCCAACATGCATCCTAAGTAGCTTGCAACATTGTTCTCCCTTCCTCCATTTTATCCTCACAACGATAACCCTGAGAGGTAGGTCAGACTGTGAGAGAATAACTGGTCCAAAGTCGTGCAGCTAACTTCAATGGTGGAGGAGTGGGGTTTTGTTCCTAGGCCTGTACTCTAGCCACTGTACGATGCTGGCTGAGTCACACCTCTATTTAGGCTTGCCAGTCCCCAGGTCGGGGTGGGGGTTCCCCCACTTTTCAGGGCTTCAGCTCACCACCAGCCACCTGGCCGGCAGGGAAAACCCCACCCCCAAACAGAGACATCCCGGCGCGACATCCCTGATGTGATGGTGTCACCTGGAAGTGACATCATGTTGGAGATGCCGTGGGGGATTCTGTGGTTTGAGGGCAAAACTCTATGGTAAATTTGCCCACAAAGCATAGATTTTTGCCCTCAAACTAGAGCGTCACCGGTGCAATTATGGCACTTCCAGGTGACATTATCACGTTGGGGACATCCCAGTACACACACCCCAATTCCCTTGCCAGAGTGACAAGGGGACCTGGCAACCCTATCTCTATCTCATTTACCCACAGGGCTGTATCTCAAGGTCAAATGACAAAAAACAATGTCTTAATTTGCTTGCTTAACAAAGTAGTCAGAGAGTGATTCAGCAAAGATTCAGCTTTATTCATCACCTCGAACTCAACTCCAACACAGATCAACATCTGATAGTCAGAACAGCTTTTGCATTAGAGCTGTTCCCTTTTTTAAACTCTCCCGGCTGATGTAGCCACGCCTTACTGTACAATACCAACCAATAAGATTGTTTACATAACGACCAATCATCGACGTTCCGCTCAGGGAGCTTGCTGTTACCTGATTGGTTGGTTCTTCCTGGGCTACCAATACGATTGGATGGATTAGGATCCTAGCCCAGGACGAAGCTTTACATGGCATTTCAATTATGTTGTTCACATATAGTTATGCATTCAATGGCAGCTATTGAATACATTACACCATGGTAGTCATACAAGAACAAGGCTCTTTCTGTAGCCAGCCCAGTCACGTGGACATTCCTTTCAGACTACATTCAGTGGCCAGGAGCCACTTGGCAGGATAGGGAGGAAGAATCAGCTACTGATTCACCCTTCCACTGATTTCACCAATGTGCTTTTGTTACCGACCCTAGATTTTTCTTTTGGAAAAGGAAAGTAGCATATTCATATAATTAATTTATTGGTTTGACTCTCTGGTAGTTAGACCTGTTTATTCTCACTTTACACACACTTTCTCACTTTCCAGTGCCAGTAGGAATTAAGGCTGTTCAATTTCCGTGCGTCTCATTGTTTTAAGCTGGAGAAATACCAATAGCAAACTTTGCAGTCTCCAGCAAGATACGAATGATGCATTGGACTGAATGCTTATTCCTACAGCTACTACTTTGTGAGTGATTATGTTGTTAGAGCCCATTGTATGCTATCCTCAATTCACTCTGTCCACTTAAAAAAGGAACTGAATAGTGTGCTTTAGAAATCTCTAAGTAAGATCCCAAAGAATGGGATGTTAGTAAAAACTGGCGGTCAAGGGCTAGCTATTCTGTTAGGCTGAGATAGTTTAGCAGCTCCTTGGATTCTTACATTTTGATGTGATAAGGAAACAATGGTCTCTGAGCCTTCTTTGATGAACATTTGTCATATTATTTTTCTTACCGAGAACAAAATGTGAATGCTTATACATGGAAACAGCTGCGCACAGTGTCTGTCCAAGCAGAAACCTTCTCAGTTCCTCAGGTATAAAATACTGCAGTGCTGCAGTTCTTAATTTGTAAAAAAGAAAAAAGGAAAAGAAAAGATGTTAGCCTAGAAAGTTCGGATGTCCTCATAACAAGCACCAAAGCCCATCTTCCTGATTCTATGAGTCAAGGCCTCAAATTATTTATCTGTGACAAGGGAAAGGCAAGGTGCACATGCCTGGAAGCCCTTTTGTCTTTAATTTTGCTTTGTCGGAGTCCTGGCATTGAAAGCAAATTCTAGGCATTAGCCTTGAACAAATGCTGCCCTTCTTCCAAGGCAGCATA